GAGTTTGCTTTTTTCCTCTCCCCCCCCCCCCCCACACACCTCAAGCCTACCGAGGGATGGGAACACTGGCTGGGGAAGGGAAGACCGATCGGGGAGGCCTGCCTCCCCTTCGCTTCCCCAGCCGCCCTGCCGGGAGCCACACAACATATGTGAAAGAGCTGAACTTGGCTCCCGAGCCACAGTTTGGCCAACCCTGCTTCAGACTAACACGGCTGCCCACCTGAATTTACCAGGAATGGGTATGAGTTATCTGTGCTCTTCAGGTCCATGTACCGAACAAATCCAGGCAGATATTTTTCAAGGAGGACCAGAGACAGAAGCGTCTCCCCTGCTCAACCACTGGCTATAGGATGCCGGGCAAGCTGGCCGTTTGTGGCAGGGAAAGTACTCTTTAGTTTAGGTGTGTCTCTCTCTCCTTTGGACCGCAACCTGAACGTGAACTGGATCCACCAGTTTGGTGTCGGGGTTAAGTGTGCGCGGACTCTAATCTGGGAAAACCGGGTTTGATTCTCCTCCACTTGCACCTGGCTGGATGACCTTGGGCAGGCCGTAGTTCTGATAAGAGCTGTCCTTGAAAAAGAGCCGTTTCTGTCAGAGCTCTCTCAGCCCCACCGACCTCACAGGGTGTCTGTGGTGGGGAGGGGAAGGGAAAGGCATTTGTAAGCCGCTCTGAGACTCCTTTGGGTAGTGAAGGGCCATGGAGTATAAATCCAATCTCTTCTCTCAAGAGCAGTTCTCAAGAGAGCTTTCTCAGCCCCACCTGCCTCACAGGGTGTCTGTTGTGGGGAGGGGAAGGGAAAGGCGTTTGTAAGCCGCTCTGAAGACTCCGAGTGAAGGGCGGGGTATAAACCCAATCTCTTCTTCTCTCAAGAGCAGTTCTCAAGAGAGCTCTCTCAGCCCCACCAGCCTCACAGGGTGTCTGCTGTGGGGAGGGGAAGGGAAAGGCGTTTGTCAGCCGCTCTGAGACTCCCTTGGGTAGTGAAGGGTGGGGTATAAATCCAATCTCCTCTTCTCTCAAGAGCAGTTCTCAAGAGAGCTCTCTCAGCTCCACCTGCCTCACAGGGTGTCTGTGGTGGGGAGGGGAAGGGAAAGGAGTTTGTCAGCCGCTCTGAGACTCGCTTGGGTAGTGAAGGGCGGGGTATAAATCCAACCTCCTCCTCCTCCTCCTCCTCCTCCTCCTTTTACCTTTTTTGCAATATACTTCTTGGGAGATGTATTTAGTGCACTCAGTGTCACGCTTCTACGACTGGGCAAAACTCTGCTATGTTTTTAAAAAATTTTATTGAACAATACAACAGTATTACAAACGGACAAAAGAATGGAGTGCAATCAACAAAGGACAGCAAAAGATAGATACAAACATAGCTCCAAATATCGCGCACATCTTAACCTTCAATACAGCATGAAATTGAATAATTACAATTCATTCAATGTGAGCAGAGAAGGGAGATTTGATTCTTGACTAGTACAGAACAACTATTTGAGATGCCTGACCAGTGCTCGTGTAAGAAGGGCTGATTTGAGGGACCTCTAGACTTATCTAAATTGTTTGTAAACTTGTCCAGAATAAATAGGTCCCACAATTTCTGGTCACCACACCTTAAAAAGGATACGGTATTATAGCTGTGGAGAAAGTGCAGAAAAGGGCAACTCGAATGATAAAAGGGTTGGAGCACTATCCCTACGAGGAAAGGTTAAAG